CCCCCACCCCTTGAGGGGCCAGCCCCTCCCTTCCCCACCCCTCATCCCGGCCCTGGGCACCCGATACTTGAGCTCCCTCCCCTGGTGCCTTGTGTCAGCCCCCTGGGCACCCTGTGGGGAGACAGTGCCTGCCTTCCCACCTGCACTGGCAGTTCTTAGAGCCCCAGAGCCCCATAATCTGAGAGGCCCACTTTGGGCAGGACTTGGGGAGTGTGCGGATCTCCCCCAAGTCCTGAATCACGCGCTCCCAGCTGACCAGGCATCTCTCCCCCACTCCAGCCAGCTTCCCGCTGGAAACTTCACACTCTGTGAATCAATCTGATGCAATAGCACTTTTCTGTTTAGAGAATCATTTTTCCAAAACAAATCTGACAGGCGCTGAAGACGTAATAGGAGAAATTAGAACTTTTTTCCTTCTGCCTAACCGTGAGAACACCTATTTCCCCACCACACACCAAGGAGGTGGGTGAGGCTGCCCACAGCCAGGCTTCCCACCTGTGCGGCCTGCCAGGTCCGCTCGGCCCCGTGGGGTTGGTGCCCGAGCTGGGAGCCCCTGGCAGGGAGGGGCTGCAGCCAGGGCCTCAGTTCCCCGGCTGACCACATGTCTCCACTAGCCCCTGCCGCGCCCTCTGAGAGACCCTGGTGCTATCTCCCTGGGGGGAGGAGAAAACAGCTCGTAAACGAGGCACCTCCCAGTTCTGAGTGCTGGTTAATCACTGTGATTATGTACAGGGTTTATGTTGTGAACATAAATGTGTGAAGGTGTCCATACCCCAGCCTCCCCCCACACCAGAAAAACCAAAACAAACGACCCAGCCTGTTCCAAGCCTGGAGGGAACCGTCTCTGCAGGCTGGTCAGGGCCCCTTGAGTCCCACGTGGTTGAGATGTAAATAGGAAGACGTTGGAATAAATGCCGGCTCCTTTGAGCAGCCGCACCGCCCACGCTCCCGTCCGCTGCCCGGGCCGGGGAGGCCCACCCAGCCCTCCTCTGCTCCCCCCTGCAGGCACCTGCGGGAGATCTCAGAGCTGCAGAGCCAGCAGAAGCGAGAGATCGAAGCCCTGTACCGCCGCCTGGGCAGGACGCTGCCCCCCAACCTGGGGCTCTTGCACACGGCCCCCCCTGCCGGCCGCCGGAGGAAGGCCAGCAGGAGCAAGCTGAAGGCTGGGAGGCTGCTGACTCCACTGGTGCAGCAGCTCAAGGTCGTGGCCTCCAGCACAGGTCGGCCCTGTGCCCTGCTGGGGGCTGGGCTGGGGGCTGGGCAGGTGGAGGCAGGCACCCAGACCTGGAGGGGCGCTTCTTCACCCCCCATGCGAGCGGGCCATGGGGCTGTGGCAGGCTGGGCCCCTGTGCTGTGGCCAGAGGAGAGGACCCAGCCTGGGAGTTGCAGTGAGGAAGGGGAGTGGGCGGGGGGGCTCGGGCTCTCCAGAGCAGGGGCTGCTCTTCCCCATGGGCTCCGCCCCGCAGGGTGCTGCCAGGACGGGGCTGTTTCCTGGCCCGTTTCTTAGACATATGTCACCTGCTGACAGTGGGGGCTGAGCAGCTGCCTTGGGGGAGGGGAAGGATGGTGGGGCTCCAGCCCTTGCCCACAACCCCCAGCACTGAGGTTGCCCGCGGACCCTGAGCCCTTGCACCCTGGGGTGGAGACCCAGTGAGTTGAAACGCTCGGTCACGCCAGGTGGGAAGCTTGCCTCAGGCCCTCCCTCTTGGCGTCGAGTGGCACCTGCAGGGTGTGGGGCACAGGTGCAGAGCCACAGGCCCCAGGCCCGCCCGAGAGCCGACGGAGTGAGGAGGCTCGCTGGCCCAAGCCGCCAGGGCCTCCGGAGCTGCCATGTCCTTCCCATGCGTTGGCGTGAGGCAAGCCCGGTCGGTGCTGTCGACCAGTGGAGACTGGTCATTCCTTTAATCCTCCCACCTCGCCCACGTGGCTCACCAGCCCCTGCAGGGACTCAGCTTCCCCAAGGTCACCCAGCAACAAGCAGAGAGGACAGCTGCGCACCGTGCCGGCCGGCTGCCCTCGGCACCTCATCGTGCCTGTCCCCTTCTCCCCACTCAGGTCACTTGTCAGACTGCAGCCACGCCCCTCTTGCCCAGGACCCCGCCAGGGCCGGGGCAGGGCCCGCCGCAGCGGCAGACTCCTGTGGGAAGGCAGTGCAGACCCAGCAGCCTTGCTCCGTGCGGGCCTCCTTGTCTGCAGACATCTGCTCCGGCTTAGCCAGTGACGGGGGCGGAGCGCACGGCCCAGGTGATTCCCAGCTTGCCGCCTCTGAGCATGTGCTAGCCGCGCAGGCCATGTGGTGTAGAGGGGACGTGCGCTGTGGCCAAGGCTGCCGACAGCTTCTGAAAGACGTGATCCTAGAGGTAGCCTTTGAATGAAGAGTGGGTGGCCACGCATCACAGACTTTAAGTGGCTCCAAGGGAGGCATGCTTGGCTAGAGCAGCCTGGGGAGGGACCACAGGTCAGACGTGGCCTCAGTCTGCTGTGTGGTCTGTGCTGGGTGCAGGCGCCGCCCGCTCTGCCCTGCCCCGTTCCCTGCCACACATGGGTCCAGAAGGGCCGCTGGGGGCTCAGGGCACGGCTCTGGAGCTGGGAGTTGGGCCTTGAGGTGGAATGGCCGTGGGCGCAGCAGCTGTGCGATGAGGCGCTTCTCCCACGCCATCTCTGTGCAGAGGCGTGGGGACCACAGCCGCTCGGCCCCTGCCCGCCCCGCACGCGCTCCTGGGTCTGCCTCTCTTCCGCTCCAGCGCTTCCTCCTTTCCATTGTGTGGTCAGTGGCTGTGGTCCTCGGGGCTGGGCTAGGTGCAGCCGTGGATGCTAAGTGACGAGGCTGAGTGGCTGGTGGTGCAGGAGGCAGCCCGAGACTGTACTTGATGCCTGTCTCTCTGTTCTCTTCCCTCTATATTCACTTGCAGGCTGGACGGTTTACCACCCAACGTCTGAGAGAGTGACCCATAAGTCTAGTAGCAAACCTCGCGCTCGATTCCTCAGTGGACCCGTGTCTGTGTCCATCTGTCTGTATTTGTTCTTTTGTATTTTATCACCTCCCGCCCTTGGTTCTCCCCCCCCCTCCCTGTCTCCATCACCTTCCATATGCTTTATAGGACCTCCTCCACCATTGCCCTCCTTTATTTAAGATCGAACAGAGCCTCGCCCACCCACCCGTCTGGCCCCAGAAAGCACGGTGCATGCCCGCGGCTCCTGCCGGCACCAGCGCACGTGCAGCGGCCGCCTGAGCCCATGCAGACCCACCCCGCCCCGCCCCGCCCCAGGCCGCTCTGCACTTCTCTTGTCACTTTGTATTTTTTTAACGTTGGACGTACTTGTATTCCTGTTGCGATTGTGGCAAATACACACGTCCACTGTCCCCAGTTCCAGCAACAAGACAGCCCAGCCTTCTCTCCATGCATGCATGACGTGCTTCACACGTGTCTGGACTTTGAAGACATGCATGTGACCGAGATAGTGCTGGCAGGTTGCCGTAAAAGGCCCGTGTCACAACATCCAGTAGCCCCCACCCCCCTGCATGCAGACATGCTGAGCGCGCACGCCAGCTGGGACGCCCAGCCCCTCCCTTCTGCTCGCCCCAGAACCTCCCAGCCCCTCGGGGGTCTCTAGCGCCTGCACTGCACCTGGTGACTCCCCTCGCCTCAGGCCAGCGAGGCAGCCGGCTGTGCAGCCCACAAGCCCCGTGACAGCACTCAGTCCCAGCCGCCCACACCCTGCTGCCCTCCTGCCACCAGGACGTGTGCCCAGGAATGGGATACCTGCTCAGGGCTCTCCCAAATTGTTTCTTATTCCTCAGATGGATTGGCAAGTGAATCAAACGCTGTGGGCTTTTAGATTTTTGTTTTTAACAGGAAAATTAAGCTTTTTGCCAATTAGATTGGACATGCTGGTTTGGGGCGTGTGGTCTTTTGCTTGTACAATAAAGATACATTGTGCTTGCTGGGACCTGAGGCCACGCCCACGGGAGGCACCCATCCCCCACAGAGGGCACGGCTCCTCCCAGGCAGCGGGCGGGTCGCAGGCGGGGACCAGGGAGCAGGGCCAAGGGACTGCCGGGCGCTCCTTGTTCAGGACAGATGCCGGTTCAGCTTGCGGGGCTCAGGCTGCTGGTCAGATGGGGGCCAGCTCTGTCACTCCTCTGCCTCGTGCGTGGCTGCCGGGGAGCTGTGGTGTGAGCACACCTGGGTTCCCAGGCATTTCTGTGGGAAGTACCTGCCAGCAGGGGCTTCCCCGGGGCCTGGAGGAAAGCCAGTGGGTGAGCAGCACCAGTCTCAGGCCATCACCACTTTCCCTGCAGAGCCACCTGGTTCTGCTTTTCTCTTTTAGGGTTTTCTCTTTTTTCACTGTTACTTATTGTTCCAACGTAAAAGATTGAGGCCCAGCAGGGACCAGGAGGTTAGGCTTTGCTTCCGCCCTGGCCCGGAGGAAAGGAAGGTGTGGGGCACAGCTTGGGGCAGGCCCGCCTGGCCGTGACGGGTTTCAGGTGGCACCCGCTGCCTGGTTGGCCCGCTCCCTCAGGTGCTGGGAAGGCGATGACCCTGCTGTTCACACAGCCCAGCCGGCTCTCAGGCTGTGAAGTGGCCCGCTGGCTCTGAGGCTGCCGTGAGCAGTGTGCAGCCTGCACTGGGCCCTCCTGTCTGGGGCATGGAGCGCTCTTGCCGCGCTGCTGGGGCTGGAACAGCCAGGACCCCTCCCTTCGGTCCTGGTACCCACCCGGCCCTCAGCTCCTGGAGCACCTGTCTGCAGGTGCCTGGTGTCCCAGGGGCACACGACAGGGGCAGGACATGGGTCTGGGAGGGCTGAGAGCTTGGCCACGGAGAGGCGGAGCGGAGCTGGAGTCAGGGTTGCGAGCTGGCCTAGGCCGGAGGGAAAGCAGAGAATGGTCTCGGTTCCCCCTCCTGAAAGGAACAGGTGACAGGTCTCTGGGAAAGTCAACTCTGTAAAGTTCTGAAGCACAGAGGTCCCAGGTCCCCTGGGACTCAGAGATGAGAGAGGTGGCTAATGGGTGGTAGCCCCACGGAGCTGTGGGCAGTGCCAAGCGCTGGGAGGCCTGGGTCAAGAGCAAGGTGGGCACAGCTTCAGCAGCTCAGGTGGGCGGCCCTGAGCAGGGCAGACCCAGCTGCCGTCCAGCTGCTGCTCATCCTGCAGGCCCTCCCCCCAGGTGAACAGCTTGGGGTGGCCGGGGCGGGTTGCGGAAGTGACAGTGTTCTGGTGTCCTGGTGTCAGCAGTTGTCAGGGAGGGGTCCAGGCTGTTCCAGCCCCAGCAGAGCGGCAGGGGCGCTCACGGCTCCATGCCCCAGACAGGAGGGCCCAGTGCAGGCCCCACGCTCCTCATTGGCCCTCCTGCCTCAGCTCCCCCAGACTGGAGGCAGGGCTCACGTCCTCCGGGACTCGCTCTGCACACGGACCAGCGTGTGCTCCTTGCCTTTGGCCACGTGCCCGGTGTTCAGGCTGCAGCAAGTTTGTCTCTGGGACCCGTGGCCCCTGTGCAGACCCCGAGGCCCGCCTAAGCCTGGTGTGTTCCCTCCTGCCTCCCTGTGACGACCTGCTGTGGTGGGTGTGGGAGTGGGCCCAGGGGGACCAAGGAGGAAAACCTACATGCGGCCCCGCACCTTCACTCGCTCAGGTCTGACTGGTGAGTGCTGGCCCTCAGGCTGTCTGAGGGGGTGGCCCCTGTGCTTGGGCCTGTGCGTCCCAGACAGGGCTGCTGGGTGAAGCCCCCGGGCAGAGCCGACGCATCTGCTGCGCAGTGTCTGCTCCACAAGCCAGTTTTGGCCCTTTCCTCAGCTTGAGAGGTTGGTGGCTCAGCACATACTGGATACGCCCAGAGCAGCACCTGGTGCTCTCCCGTCTTCCTCTGTGCAGAACCGAGTGCGCACTGCCACTGTCGGGGGGCACGACCGCTCCGCGACGGGCCTCATCATGGGGTGGGGAGCCCCGCAGGGCCCGGCCTGGTGGCAGCATGTGAGCACGTGGCAGAGGCAGGTGTGGGTGTCTGTGGGCCTGGCCCATTTATAAGTAGCAGGCACCCTCAAGTTGGAGGCATCTCCTGGCAGCCAGCCAGAGGCCGGGGGAGGTGGGGGCAGGCACCCAGCCGACTGGCTGTCCACGCCAGGAGCAGCCCCTGTGCCTGTGCAGGGTGAATGTGGGGCGAAGGCGGGCCGCTCGGCACCCCTGCAGCCGTGCGCCGCATAGGACAGACTGCACGGCCTCCGTGCTGCCCTCAGGCAGGAGAGCAACTGTCCTGCCCACGCGGACACTCCAAGTGTTCTGGGGCCTGGAAGCTGGCTCTTCTCTTCCCAGGGCCTTGGCTGAGGACAGAGTCCTGCCAGGGACACCCTACTCCACAGGAAACTAGGGGCGGGGGGGGCAGTGGGAGCTGGTCTGCTATTCACCCTTATGCCCCTGAGGCCTCCTCGGGCTTCCTTGTGGGGCCTGTGTCAGCCCCATGTGGTTCCTGGCGCCCTGCATTGCTGCCGAGGCCTTGTGGGTGGGAGCCAGGTGCACCGCAGTGCAGGGTCCGGTCGCTTCAGTGAGCATCCAGGGCAGGCGTGGGCAGGCGCAGACCCTGGGAGAGGCCGAAGGGGCAGGGCTGTGGGCTCCAGCACACGGTGGCTGCTCTGCCTCAGCCCCGGGGCGTGAGCGCGGAGCATGGCCGGACAGGGCTGCTTGGTGTGTGAAGGTCAGCGGAGGGCCTGTCGGTGTGGGGTGGGGCCTGCGTGGCTCTGCACCCTGAGCAGGATTCTGGTGGCCGCCCCGGCCCTGGGTTTCCGGTGGGGTCTGTCTGGGCTTTCATTGAGGGCCCTCTGGGGGTCTGAGCAGGCACCTGGCGTGGGGGCCATCACACGGGAGGACGGGAGCCAGAACTACCCCAGAACTCCGGCCTGGAGACCTGGCTGGCGTTTGTCCCATGTTCTGGGTCGTCGGTTGGGGCCTGCTGCGGTCTAGACGCTGAGGCTCCCACCTCAGGAGCGTGACGGGGAGCGTGCAGATAGGCTCTGGGTGGCCAGGCCTGCGGCCCCGGAGGCTCGTGGGGAGCACAGATGCACAGGCCCTTCAAGGCTCACCCCCCGGGGTGGGTCTGGGTGCTGCTGGTCCCTTTGCTTTATGTGCTCATTAGAGACGGCAGGATGAACTGAAGAACAGGCGGATGGGAGCCCAGTGGCTGTCCTGCCCTCACTCAGGGCATGTGGCTTGCCTTCCTGGGCTCGTGCTGGGGGCTGCAGCGCCTCCGGGAGCGGCATGGCTGTGCGCAGGGCCTGCTGCTGTGAGGGCCGTGGGCAGGAACCCAGCCCCTCTGCTGGCGCAGCCTTGCTGAGTGACCTTGGGGATGCGGAGCCCCCTGCCTGTCCCACCTCAGCTCCTGACTCCCGGAGTCCCTCCCGCTCTGTCAGGACCCGCCCACACTGAGGTCAGGCTCTGGGACCCCAGGGCCTGGGGCGGGGCCTGGCCCTGCCTGCTGGGTAGGAGATACCAGACAAGACCCAGTGGAAGAGAATCGTCCCTGCCTCTCCCACCCTGGACAGGACCCTGCCTCCCCTCCTGCCCGCGCTGGCCTCAGCCCGCAAAGCAATGTATCTTTTTGCACTTGGCAAACCCCATGGCCCGAGGGCCAGGTCGGCTCCAGAGCCAGTGGCCAGGGGCTCCAGAGCCCTGCCTTAGAGCCAGGTGGTGAGCTCTGCCCTTTTCTTGGTTTGGTTTTCTTTTCTTTTCCTTTTTGGAATATGTTTCTAGAGATACACACTCTTCTCTCTGAACGTGGGCTTGGCCTGCCCCTCCGCCCTCAGCGAGCGTGCGGAGCTGCACCCCTAGCTGGGGCACCCTGGGCCCGCGGCCGTCCTGCTCTGGCCTGCGGGCCACCGCTCCTCCTCGCACACCGATGACCTCTGCTTAGAGTGTGGCTTGTCCCGTGCTGCTGTCTGGCCTAACCCTGTGGTCTGTGTCGTTCTCTCTCCCTTGCAGGGTCTGCCTTGAAGCGTCTCTGTCTAGGCAAAGAGCACAGCAGTCGTAATTATCGGTTTTTCATTCGTCCGCTCTCCATCGCATGGCCTTTCTTGTGGCTAGTGCCCCTGGGCTTCCGCGGCCGCCTGGAACCTCAGGGCTGGCGGGCAGGCAGCCGTGGGCCCGCACTGTGCCCGCCTCTGTGAGCACCACTCACCACTGCCTGGTGGGGCAGCCACTGGCGGTGCCCCTGGCGTCTCCATGGGTCTGAGACTGCATCCCAGCCAGCTCACCTCGAACAGGCTGGAGCAGCAGACATTACCGACCTCTGATTGGCTCCTTTCCAAAACTGCAGAGAGTATTTCCGTGAGGCGCTAAGGATGGCGCCAGAGGAGGGTGCGGGGTAGAGCGACCAGCATACCTGGGCTGCCCGCTGCTCATCTCACGCCGTTTTTGTTTTGTTTTTTTTCTTTTTTCTTTTCTGGCTGAAACATTCATGTAGATACAGCTCATCTGTAGAATCTCATTACTAACGTATAACTGTCGTGTCTGCTTTTTGTTGCTAAACACTAAAGTAGACTACATTTTGCAATAGCTTGTTTGAGGAGATGGTCATTAGGTTATTTTTAAATGCAGAACTTTAAAAAAGTGGCCTATTCAGAATTGCCAACCAGAAATTATATGTTGAAGAAAGGGAGGGCACACCATTTTTTTAAAGTAAAACACTCTGTTTGGGTCATTTAAAATACACCTTCTAGTGCCATGGGGAGGGCCGTGTCTTTGCCCGCTCTCCGAGCCTCGGCCGGGCCTCCGCAGCCTGACTCCTGCTCCAGCTGCTGGTGGCAGCCTCAGGTGGCTCCCACATGGCGGGCCCATTGCGGGTGGAAAGCTCTAGGCTTGCGCCCTTTATCAGCACCTCCCCCAATGCTCTGGCAAGGAGAGGTGCAGTTTCTGTGTCTTAAAT